CACACAGTCCAAGTGTGCCAGCCTGGGCACACAGTCCAAGTGTGCCAGCCTGGGCACACAGTCCAAGTGTGCCAGCCTGGGCTAGCCGCTGCTGACTCCCCGGGGGATGCGTTTGAAGAACTGAAACTGCCTTCGCTGGCCTGGGGAATCAGGAACAAATAAAATGTCTGGGAGTGGTTGTTCCTGGGCTGCAGCTGACTGACACCTGAACCCATTGTTCTGGACTCCTGTGTGTCCCACCCCAGAAAATGGCATTGGATGGTATCGCTCCCCTGCCCCACAGCCCCACACAGCCCCAAGGACAGACCGGAAAGGGGCCGCACATCTGGGAGGCCGTGATTTGCATCCCTTGGTCCCTGGATGGAGTCCTCCTCCTGACTGGGAGACTCACTCGGGTGAACTCCTACGCGTCCTTCAAAACCCAGCTCAAAAGTCCCACAGCAATCCCCCCTTTCCTCGGGGCTCCTCAGTGCCTCCCGCCTCTACCCTGTCTCCCTCCAGACAGAAGGGGAAGGCAGTGGAGCTTAGCGTCACCCCATGCTAGGGGTAAGGAAGGAGGGGACCAAGAAGGCCCAGGAGCCAGGAGTGGGGTCGCCGCCAAGTCAGATCAGGCTAGCCCCTTCACACGCAGCCCTGTGACTCTGGGCTGGGATGCGCACACCTGACAGCCCTGGACCGGCCCAGTGACCCTCGCTCCCCCCACCTGGCTGTGAGCACCCCTCTCCCCTCCCCCTTCCCCCCTCCCCCCCACTCACCTCTCCCTTCTCTCACACCCCTCTCCACACGCCTCCCCTCCCGTACACCCCTCGCCTCCTGCACACCTCTCCCCTCACGCACACCCCTCCCCCTCCAGTGCACTCGACTTCCTCCGGCCCCTCCCCTTCCGGAATCCTCCTCTTGCACCCACTTTGCGAGCCCATCCCCTCCCCTCCTCTAAGACCCTCCGGGGACTCGCACTACCTGCCCGGACGCTGCCCCACCAGCCAGCCAGATCCTCCCACCCCCCCCCCACCCGACACCCCATCCCCTCTGCACCTGGGTACCACACCCGACCCCGGGGTCGGGGAGGGAGGCGATTTGAACCGGATAGTTCCGCTTCTGGGGTCAGGGCAGCGAGGGGTGTAGGGGGACGAGGCAGGGGAGGGGTCCCCCAGATCTAGCCTCCTGGTCCCCCACGGCCCCTCCCACACGCCCCCGCCGGCCCTCCCCCTCCACCATCCTCCCTAGCACCTTGGGCAGATGAAGATGGGGTTGCCATGGCAACGCTGATTCACCCCGCGGAAGCCGGCAGTTGTCGCTGCCATGGAAACCGCCTCTTCGGGGCCCCTCCGAGTTCAGATCTCGCGGCGCACAAAAGAGATTTAAATATAATCTTTCAGAGATGAGGGAGGAGGAGGGGAGGGCAGGGGAGGGGGAGAGGGGTGCGCCCGGTTCCGTCGCCATCACCCCATCACCGACCTTGGTCTCCGGCGCTCCTGGGGTCCCCCCTCCACCCCACAGTGACGGAGAAGGGACCACGGAGCGCCCTCCCAGCCCGCACCACGTGCCTCCGCTGAGCGAGCGTCGGAGCTGGGTCCCCCCCACTCCCCGCCTCCCCCCATCTGTCCCACCCAGGTGCCCGCCCTCCCCGCCCTCCCCCCTGCACCTTCTGCAGCTCCCATCTCTGCCCCGCTTCCCGCCCCTCCTTCCTCTTTACATTCACCCAACACCCGTTCCTGTTGGATAGGATCGGGGACCCCAGGGAGGACCCTCACTCGTGTCGCACCGTGGGACAGCACCACCAGAAGTGGCCCACTCCCACGGAGGAGAAAATCTTTGGCGGGTTTTGGGGCAGCAGTGGGAGTTCTGTGGGGGAGACCATGTCTCCCGCCGCAGCCGGGTCTCTGTTCGGGACTCATTTCATCTCTGAGCCCGGTGTGTTACAGACGGGGAAACTGAGGCCTTTGGGCAAATCTCAGCTGGTCTAGCTGGGACCCTGCAGGTTTCTTCCGCAGTTGGAAGATTCCAGAACCAGACGTCGGCGGAAGCCACGGAAGAGAGAGAACACCCCACTCAGGCGGCCACGGCCCACTCTCCCCTCCCACCTGGACGCCGCGAACCCCTCACCTACCCTGAACCCCGCCATGGCGCCCTAGTGCCGCGACTGCAGTTACAGCCTCTCATCGCGGCATTGAAGGCCTCAGCCAGGGTGCCCTCGCGGGACCCCTCCCTCCCAGCAGCCCTCCCCTGGCCCTCCTCAAAACTGACGCCTTCCCCAGTGCTGGGGGGATGGTGGCTCGCCCCCAAACCCTCACCCTTAGCCAGTCAGACTGACGCCCAGAGAGGGGACCAGAACCGGAGCATGCACCCTCAGCTAGATGATGAATTACACCACTGGGCTGCAGAATACTACACAGACCAGAAAAAGCGCGGGAAGACGCCTTTCGTGGGGAAGAGGGCACAATGTGGGGGGAGGTTCTGGGAGCCGCCCGCGTGGTGGTGGGTGGATCCTGCACGAGTGCGCACCCCGTGCATGCGTGATCACGGCGGGTCCCCTAGGTGCCCCGTTTCACTGTTCACCCTGTTATTTGTAGCAGAGTCTCTCCCTGATCCTGGGACTTTTTATGGAGGTTCTGGGCTGGGACGCAGGTCTCCACGGAGGGGACCGCTCTCAGAGAACCCTGCCTAGACCGGTGCGGGGGGGGGGGGGGGGCAGAGCACCCAGACGCCTGACGGCCAAGCAAGGCCTCTGCTGAGCATCTGCGGGCAGGTAGCCTTAGTCTTCCTGTCTGCTGGGCCAGCGTGGCATGTGGAGAAACTGAGGCCTGGGGGTTTGTAGCTGGACACCAACCCCCGATCTCAATGAAGACAGGCGCAGAATGGCAGGCTCTGGTGTATCCTGTTGCAGTGTGGCGGAGGCCTCGCCTGCCGTCAGTGCAGGGCCACGTGGGGTCCTCTGTGCCTGTCCCCCGCAGCTGCATCTTTGGGTGGGGGCTCGCGGTGGTGCGGGCACGGCTGCAGTCCCGCACACTCTAGAATGCCCGCCAGGACGGCTGGATGCGGAGTCTGGAACATTCTGAGTCACTCACATCCAGCACTGGCAGCAGAGTCTAGAACGTTCTAGATCGCCAAGCACTCATCACGCTGCAGGTCCCAGAGTCCCTCGGGCGGCTGGCCTCCATTCCAGTATGTTCCAGGTCCCTAATTTCCAGCACGGCTTCTAGTCTCAAGTTTCAGAACGTTCCAGATATGCGGTGCAATGGCAGCCGGCTCCAAGTCTAGAATGTTCCACGTCTTCACTGTCCCACACCCTGTGGCCACGAGGCGCTTTCACATCACACGTCAGTTTCTCAGATGAAATGACATCAGCTCAGAACTTCTGAGTCCCAGCAGCAGGACGACACTCTCCGAGAGGCCCATAGGAGGCGCGGGCCCTGAGGGGGCACTGCGAGCCACCACCCTCAGGGCTGCCCCATCAGGCCCCACAGTTGTGTTTCTAATAAAGTTTTATTGGCACATGGCTGTGCGTGGGGTAATACATGCCTGACCGAGCACGGCGTGGGTGCAGCCACAGGCACTGTGAATATCAAAGTTTCCAGTCACTATAAGGTCTGTGGATGTGAAGTTAACTTTGACCCTGGATTTTAATGGCGGGGGGGGGGGGACACGGCTGTCCATTTAGAACAATTCGGAACATGACTCTCCTGTGTCAATCATGATTCACAGGTGGTGCAGTCCACGGGCCACTGAGAAAACTTCTACCCTGAGCCAGGTGTGGTGGCGCACCCCTTTAATCCCAGCACTCGGGAGGCAGAGGCAGGCGGATCTCTGAGTTTGAGGCCAGCCCGGGCTACATGTAACAATCATGTGCACAAACTGATGAGACCATAAGAAACAGTATGTGAAGAGTGAGCATGGAAGGGTAGGAACCTCCCCTTGGCACCCCCACCCCCCGACTGCTTTCCATTGGCCTCATGCTAAAATGCTGGGATCTAGGGAATGCTTTGTCAAAATAAAACCTAGTATTAAAATGAATTTCGACTTTAATTTTTTTTTGTACCTTTTAGTGTTTCTCTCAAAAAATTCTAATAACAGACATGTCTGGCCTTAGATTTTTTTCTTTTTTCTTTTTCTTCTTCCTTCCTTTTTTTTTCTTTTTTCTTTTTTTTTCTTTTTTTTTTTTTTTGGTTTTTCGAGACAGGGTTTCTCTGTGTAGCTTTGCGCCTTTCCTGGAGCTCACTTGGTAGCCCAGGCTGGCCTCGAACTCACAGAGATCCGCCTGGCTCTGCCTCCCGAGTGCTGGGATTAAAGGCGTGCGCCACCAACGCCCGGCTTCTTTTTTCTTTTCTAGACAGGGTTTCTCTGTGTAGACCTGGCTGTCCTGGAACTCACGCTGTAGCCCAGACTGGCCTCAAACTCACAGAGATCCACCTGCCTCTGCCTCTTGAGTGCTGGGATTAAAGGCATGCGTCACCACCACCTGGCTAGATTTTTAAAGGTTAACATTTTTTTCTAGAACATTTTCTATTTCTTCCTGTTCTAAGCAGGGTCTGTCCCTGGGTACTGTGAGCACACGGCTGGGTTGTTCTCTATGGGTGCTGAGCTGAGTCCTCCACCCCTTACATGCAAGGACTGTGTGATTGCCACATGTGTCCACAGGTGTCGTTTACCCTGAGAGGGCAGTCACCTTGGGTGAGATCCACTCTAACGTTGTCAATCAATGAAGCCTCCCAGTTCCCTTCTCAACCAGACACACCCCATCTTGACACTGCATCCCCCTGCATCTGTCCAGAACATCTGTCCTCTAGACAGCCTAATGTTCACACAGCTTTAACAACCCCAGGACCACATGGTCCTCCCTTATGACCTGCACACCTGGCCGTTTACAGTGTCACCACCTGATTGTGATGAACTGATCGGTGACATTTCCCCCACCATAAAAATCCTACACATCCACACCCTTACTGAACACTGTCGATGTGACCATGTTTGGGAAAAGGGTCTTATAGACAAATGACACAGAGGAAACGAGGTAGCCTCGGTGCCCTGTGTGGGGGAGAAGGAGCTATGGGCACACTGACAAGGAGAAACCAGGCAGAAGCCAGGAGCACCTGCAGGGAGGGGTGGGTACAGGGACGAGCACTGCATCTCCACAGAAGCCTAGGAAGGAATGGGGCATGATCAGCTTTGGAAGAGGGATGGATCCCCTTGACTGGGAGGTAGTCTGCTCAGCTGTGCTGGGAACCAGGAAGCCATGGTCTCCTCACCAGTCAAAGAGGTGGTGGGGTGAATGGATGACTGAATGATGCATAAATGGATGGATGGATGGATGGATGGATGGATGGATGGATGGATGGATGGATGGGTGGATGGATGGATGGATGGGTGG